TACACTAAGCCAAAACCCACAAAAAACAAAAAAATACGAATAAGGAAAAAAGGAAAAAGAAAAGGGAAATACTATCGCTCACCCGGCGGATCTCATGAAACATCGACCGCCTCGTCCGATCGACGCATGTCCCGTGGACCCACTTTCTCTGAAACATAAGCCTCCTCTTATCCGCTCGTTCGTCCTAATCCTCCAAGCTTATCGTTTCCTGTTTGTTTCCAAGGATCGTCTCCACTGCACATCAAGACGGGATGCACGCTGCTAGCCACCGGCCACAGCCCAACGTCGGAAGCCGGTCACTCGGCTGCTGCATTCCGTCATCGCAGGGTACTGGAGCCGCTGGACTGCACCCCTGCCTCTGCGAGGCACGCCGGGCCAAAGCCTGCATCCGCCATCCTCCGCCATTCCATGTCGCTGCCGTCCTAGAGGAGCACTAGCATCCATGGCTGCCGCCTCCTTGAGCTCACCCACACTGGTGCCGCCGCAGCAACATTTCCTGCAACATGATCATTGTTGCATAAATTTTTGAAACATGATCTTTGTTGCAAAAAATTCTACACATGCTTCTGTAACATGATCTTTGCTGTAAAAAAAACTGCAAACGTTTCTCTAACATGATCGGTGCTACAAAAATATTTTGTAACAGAACCTCAGTTGCAAATATTTTCGCAACAAGATCTCTATTACAAAGGGTTTTCGCAACAAGACTTCTGTTTCGAAAGTAGAAGAGCGCATGCGTCTGCTCGATTATATGAGATCCGACGGCTCGCGAGGCGACGGATCTTTTAAAAAGATCCGGCGGCTGACGCGCAGCACTCCCCAAAAGAAAAATCCATAGAAACATAAAACAGAAATAAAAATGTGGCAAAAATACCCACAAAAGAAAGAATGAATTAGTGGCATTTGTAATAGGCATTGGTATTACCATTTAAGAACAAATAAATTGGAAGAAGAATCTAAAACGAACACTGGCATAGTTTGCACGAAATATACATAGAAAGTGCCCTTTTAAAAAATATGCAAGAATAAGCATATAGAAGTGCGACTTTTGCCAAAAAAAATCCAAGAACAAATGAATAGCGCCTTTGGTATTAACCTTAAAGTAGAATGAAAATGAAGTAAAGACTAAAACACTCAAATCAATTATTATTTTTCTAAAACATAATGAATTAGTGGCGTTGATATGTCCTTTAAGAAGAAAAAAAACTTGGGCATAACTTTGGACCGAAATTACACTTTATATGTGATTATTATAATCATGAAATTTAGACATTTAGGCACACATTATATGGTATCTGTATGTACATAATTACACTCAGACAAAACCCACAAAAAACAAAAGAAAAATAACTTATTGAAAAGAAAAAAGAAAAAACGCACCTAGAAGAGCAAAACCGAGCCCAAGCAGCAATTTGACTGACCCAGAATAGGGGTTTATCGATTCCACACAGCCCAACTGATTACCAAAATGACAAGGAAAAAAGAAGACAACACACATCTCAGAGTGGAATCGCACGATCGTAAAATCGACTGGCCCAAAAGAATTTTAAGCTGACTGACATGTAGCCGAACTGTAAAGAAAGTTTCAGGATAGATGTAGTAGGAGTCAATTACGTTGGTGGTGCTAGAACTTGGCGCAAACGATCACTTTGGTGCTAGAAGTTGCGGTATACAATGAAGCGGTGCAAAAACTTGGCTCACACCTGCAAATACAGTGCTAACCGCGTTGGTATACGGAATCTGCGCTGACTAGGCGTGTGGGTCCTGCTGTCAGCCACTGGACCTAGGAGGGCGGGCGTGTGGCCTAATTTTTTTTTTGAAAATCCCCTCGGAATATATCTTTTCTCTACTACCTAAAAGAACCATAAGGTTCCGTTTCCCGTCTTACTCGATCTCTTCATCGGCTTCGTCCGACTCTTACCGCTCCAGATTTGATTTTTGCAGCTTTCCATCGGTTTTTTTGAAAACCATTAATTAGGCTTTAATTTGTCTGCATAATCTCCTCCGTAATTTACGCCTCGTCCCGTGCACCATCCACTCACCCACGCAGCCTCCCATCTGTCTTGCCTCTCCTTCGCCATGCCGCCTCCCCATGCCGGCTGACTTCCCCCACAGGGCCGACCCCTAGAGGCTTTCCTCCAATATGTCGCCTCCCCAGTCCCCACGGCGACCGCCAACGGCCTACGCCGCGGCTCGGGTGCCTCCCACCACGCCCCTCCTCTCCAATCACAGGTTCCATCCCATGATCCAAAGTTTCCCTCGCTGCCGGCTCCGGACGGAGCTGCCGCCACGGGTGGGCATCTCCTTCCATAAGATCCTCCTATCTCGACAGTTTTGGATCCACTCATGGATTCTTACATGCCCGTCTTTCATGGATTCGTGGTCGCAGGCGCGAGCTGTGGAGGACGAAGCAATCGAACATGACGAAGTTTGTGTGGTGGCCAGCTCGTGCGCCGTCTCGGCTTCAGGGTGAAGCAGGTTTGGTTTTCCTCTCAAGTCACACCCTCGCTCGTGTTCTTGGTATGATTCCATGGATGGTCACATCACATGTGTGTGTGATTTCTGCCTCGTATTTGTTCTATCTATGTAGTAACAATAGGATCAGAAGACCTACTCCTTCTAAGTAACCACCATATGGATTTTACAATGTGTCGCAGGAATCCAGAACCCCCTTTTGCTTTCCTACTGTTAATTTTTGGTACCGAAAGGAAATATGGTGGCAACAAATATTTGCCCCCTGCTATTAGTGTCTCCTATCTTGTACAATAAGTATTTGAAAACATTGTCATATTTTGTGGTGGATGCAGAGACAGAAGCCTCTGCATTGGCATCTTAATTGCAACTATTTCAAAACTGGGGATGTATAGCAAATATTTATTGCACGTTAAGCCCTGCATTTGAAATAGCTGCTATTTGTTGGCAACTTTTTAAGCCTTGTACGGGAAGCCTGTGCATAAGCTTATACTTCCCTCCATGTTGCTCTCTCATATGCTTTTTTGAATTAGTTTCTTTTCTGCACATAAGAAATTACATTTTACATAAACCAAACAAAAAGAACCACATCTCATTGCATCGTCTCCATTTGGGATTCTAAAATTGGGATTCTAAAATTGGCATTGATGGTCAAGAGTGCGATTTATGTTTAAATGTATGTGTGCTATAAATATTATACAAACAAACCATGATTACTAAATAAAAACATTTAAATATACACCCATGTACTATATAAAATGTTTAGATAATACAGAAATTGAAAATGTATATTAAATAAAAATGTTCATGTGTTATTTTCAAAACATTGGTATATTTATTTTCAAAACTGCCAAGCATACAAACGACATACCTTATTTTTAAAACTTGTTCGTGTATTATTCCAATACACACTGGCATATTGAAAATATTTATGAATTGTAAAAATGTACAAATTTTTAAAATGATACAATTTATTTTGAAATTACATTTATAAATATTGTTTTTATTATACAACCATTTCAATAATTAAAGAACATTTGTATAGTTCAACTTTTATAATTAAAAATATTCATAATTTTCATTTTAAACTTTTGATATGTATATTCAATCATGTATAATATTCAAAATATATGCTGTTTTCGAATATAAGTCATGAGTAAAAAAATATAGACATGTGAGTAATTATAGATTTTAAGTAAATGTTTATATTCATCATTTTAAAATTTAAATATAAGCCATGAGTGTATACTTCTTTTGTATACATTAAACATTGCATCTAAGATACATTTTAATATCCGTATTAACTAAATATTTTATATATACATGGGTATATATTTCATTTTTTTTATTTACATAGTATTGATAACATAATTTTTATGATGTACATTTTAAAATATCTTATAAATATAGCTTGTGCAAAATGGGCTGCAATATCTGCAGCCCATTTAAGCTCCATAAGCGTTATTGCTAAATATTTACTCCGTCGTTATCATTGTTTACTAATTAAGTCTATCCCTAAAAAACAACTAATCAGCGTGTAGTTTATCAGAAAAACTAATCAACGTGTAGGGTGGAGTGGTTAGCCGGTTGTTTTCCTATCCTGTGGTCGCGAGTTCAAAACCTGCCCTAAATCTTTTCCTGTTAATACTGACAGTCTGGACTGGGCGTAGAGAAGTAAAATGCCACATCCATAGTCTTTTTGTCAAAATTATATATATTTTTGAGGGGGTTTTCAGGAAAAAAAACATTCTTCCTGGTTCACTGGCTGACAGCGGACCCCACGCGCCTAGTCAACACAGATTATGTATACAAAACGGGATATGCACCGTATTTGCACGCCCAAGCCAAGTTTTTCCACCACTTCGATGTACACCACAGCTTCTAGCACCAAAGTGACCATTTACGCCAAGTTCTAGCACTATTGGTGTAATTGACTCATGTAGTAGCATCCAAATCACGAACGGCCGGTGTCACGCAATGATCTCGTAATTTCCCTCTCTTTTCTCCGACCATGTATGGCTGGCGGCCGCCGGTGGTGCCTGTCTAACCACGCGCCGTCGCTGTTGCAGTAGTGACTATTACATCAGACCGGACAAGTGACGTGCACGAAGACTCCGGCAAGTCGTCGCGCGCGGCCATATCCACGCGCACACGCCTCCGCCTCCGCGCCACACACACACCGCGGACGCCCGAGTCCAAGACCTTGGTGCGCAAGGCTGGTGACTGCCACGGCCCCTGCCTATAAATTGACCCGCCCCCGCGCCGTCACTCCTCCCACCCCCGCAGCAGCACACCATAGAGCTCGATCGTAGCCCAGACCTACAGTCAGCAGCGCCGCACGCCGCTCAGTTCCGTCCAACCATTCCTAATCCAGCGAACAGTGTTGGTTTTGCTATTTGGATCGATGGCAGCCATGAAGGTGATTGCTTGCAGGCGACCGAACTGGGATTTCTCCCCTCTTCGGATTCTGATTGCACACGGCCGGTTTTGCTGATCTTGTTTTGTTCTTTGACGGTTGCGCAATTCAGGTCGTGCTGAAGCTGGACGTGCACGACGACAGGCAGAAGCAGAAGGCCATCAAGGTGGTCTCCGCGCTCCATGGTAGTAATCCCCTGTTTCTCTCGTCTTCTTGCTCTGCTTCGTCTTGGTCATGGGGGAAATTAGCTGAATTTGACACTAGTTCTGACGACAACCCTCACTTCCTCAGGGATCGACCACATCGCCGTGGACATGAAGGACCAGAAGATGACGGTCGTCGGCACCGTCGACCCCATCGCCGTCGTGGCCAGGCTGCGCAGCAAGCCCTTCCCCACGGCGCAGATCTTCTCCGTTGGCCCGGCCAAGGAGGAGGAGAAGAAGGAGGGCGACAAGAACGACGCGGGTAAGCCGGTGGAGTACCCGACGTACTGGTACCCGCCGCCGCCGTACCACCCGCACCTGTACCACCTCGCTCACAGCGCCGAGGAGGACCCCAACTCGTGCGTCATCTGCTGATCGACGCGCGCTGCCGGTTCCCGCCATTGTACACTTTGTAGGTGGCCTTCCTTCCTGCACGCCAATTGATCAGGCTAACTGCACCGGTGATCAACGGCGTGGGTTATATATATATGGATGGACGTGTAAGGCGTGAGTTGCGCCGGTGATCCGGCAGCTGCACGGCACACCTGCATGTGCCTGTGCATCTGCTTAGTTTGTAATGTGCAAATACAGAATTAGAATTACAGTATGTTGTTCAGAAAGGAAAATCATCAAGTTCTTAAAAGAAAACGTGGAGAAGGACCAGATAGAATTGCTGCAGTTATTTTTTCAATTGATAGATTCATCTTCAACGGTGATAAAAAAAAACAATCAGATCTAAATAGCACAGCTGCTCATCCAGTCTTCAGTTGATGATCTGAATAGAAAGTTGATGATGTACTACTGCAAACTAAGCACAGTTTAGATGGCTAGGTTCCTTTTGGCAAAACTAGTCTGCTCGGGTTCAAGTTATGAACTTGACGCGGATGCTCGCATGTTTGCTGAATATTTCAGATTCTTCGGCGCTACTCTTTCACACAACTACAGGATGCCTATGACGATTTGCATTAAGCAAGTCAGGCACAAAGAGATGAGAAATTCAGGTTGGTCTCTCGTGCATCTTTACATTTACCAATTGAAACCCTGAACTCCAAAGCTATCCAGCTGTGCTCCATCTAAGAGTTGCTTTCAGCAGTCAATGATAACAACGTGTGAAAAGGATTCCAAGCTTTCGGACTGTTTTTATTACTCATGTATGTTTTCATCGGTGCGACCGTGCGAGTCCTAACACATGATTACGACCTAATACATTGCTAATCGTTCATCTCGCAAATACACATTCTTAATTGCAGGTCCCAATCGCTGCTCCAACTACACATGGTATTTAGTTTATATCGAACATCTTTTGTGTTCAACGGACGGCTGCAAGTCATGCACATTTTATCCATTCTGTTTGACTTAGTAATAACGTTGCTTCATTTTTTTATAAATCCTGCATCTTTGCTCTAGAAACAACAACTCAGATTGCCAACCGAAGTTTTTTTAGCTGATCTGAAGACTAAAGTTGCGGAGATACCTCGCTGTCATTGGAATGTTTTCGTTCCACGTCGAGAAAGAAATAGATTTAATGAGGTAAAAAAGGCGTCAAAATCTAGTGGGCCAGGGGTACATGACTTGTGAGTCCTAACCACCCACTAATAGTCGCTTGTTGCCACATTTACCTGTTAGTTGTGACATTGTAACAATATTACTCTCTCCGTCCTTAAAAGAGTATACTTCCAACTTTGTTGGAAAGTCAAACTTTTTTATGTTTGTATTTATACAATAATACACCTATATTTATGCCATCAAATTAGTAGCATTAGATTCATATGATAAAATATATTTTCATCGTATACCTATTTGGTTTCACAAACATTAATATATTTTTGCATAAAATCGGTCAAATTTTGAGATAGTTTGACCCTTCAATAAAGTTGGAAGTACACTATTTGAAGGACGGAGGGAGTACTCTATAAAAAAATCCAACAACTCATACCCACAAATCAGGATGGTGTCTAGTTGACTAGGTAGACAAGTTAGCGATGTCTTTTCAAGCCATCTTCAAAGCGGACCCTCAAACCGCCCGCAACCATTTGGACTGTGCGGTTCAAACGTGTGGAGCCAACCAACGTGGGTCTGTATCGGTTCGCCGAGCGGTACGGACATACTTATTTTGGCAAACACAAGACAAAGTGAGGGGAGGGGGTTGGGCTTGCGGGAGTCCGGACAGCAGCCACGTAGGACCCCGACACCCCCGGCTCACCCAAAACCCCACAAAAAACCCCTCCCGCACCCCGTGCGTCCATCATCCCATTTTAGCTCCTTCATTCTTTCTCTCTTGCCTTCACCGCCCCACCACCCCGGCCGCCACACCGCACCCCTGCCAGAACTCGACGAGCCGGTCACCTCCAACGGTACACCCCGGCTCCATGCCGCTTCTCCTCCGCCGTCGTCCCACACCTCTCCTCCGATCGCTGCATAGGTACCATCCGCTCCTACGATGCTCACCATGCCCGACAACTGTTCGATAAATTGCCCGAGCTAAATATTGGTGTCCCTTCTTTTTTGAAGCGGTGGATTCATATATGGAGTACATATACGAGCACTATGTTGAGTCGCGCGATGAGGAGGACTAAATAGATGAGATGGTGATGATGCAGGAGGTGCTTGCAAATGCGGAGTGTGCGGAGGAGCATGTTCTTAATTTCACGAGATCGATCAAGGGTTATCAAGTGCTTAACCGAAAGGTCTGAAACTGGCGCGCGACCATTTGATGCTAAATGCTTTCCGTGGGAAGGATTGGGTCCTCTGGTTACCAAAAGTGCATGGCCGCACTACAAATGCTTGCATATGGCATGTCCGCTAATTCCTGGGATGAGTACCTACGGATGTCGGAGAACACATGCGGAGGTGTCGTGGCCAGGTTTGCAACTGTCGTGGTCGAGGTGCTTGAACCTCAGTACCTGAGAGACCAACCGTGGTAGACACCGAGAGGCTTTTGGGAATCTCAAAAGCAAGACGGTGGCCAAGTTTGCTCGGATCACTTGAATATATGTATTGAAAATGGAAGAACCGCCGAAAGCTTTACAAGAGCAATATCAGGGTCATGTTAAGAAACTCACCATCATTCTTGATGTAGTTGCATCACATGATCTTTGGCTTTGGCATGCTTTCTTTGGCATGCCCGGGTCTCACGGTGACATTAATGTGCTACAACTATTACCATTGTTTGTCAGGGTGGCTAAAGGAAAAGCTCCTCCTTGCCAGTATACTGCCAATGGGCATGAGTACAACATGGGCTACTATCTAGTTGACGGTATCTATCATCCTTGGGCTACCTTTCAGACCACCATTTCTAACCCAATTGGTCAAAAAAAGGTCTCACTTTGCCAAAGACAAGAAGCAGCTATAAAGTATGTTGAGAGGGCTTTTGGATTTCTGCAGGCACGTTTTGCAGTTGTTCGTGGATCCGCTAAACAATGGGATCTGGAGACCTTATAGGAGGTGATGAACTGTTGTGTGATCATGCACAACATGATCTTGGAGGATGTGGGTGAGGATGTTGCCGCGGGTCTTGAATTCGAGGACATGAGTGATCTTATCAAACTTCCCCATCAAAATCCGGTCACATTTGAAAAGTTTGTTAAATGCATTAACAAATTTTGCATCAAGCAACTGAGAGGATCTGATTGAGCATCTGTTGGCGGTTATGGGGGACACCAATGTTGGACTGTAATATTTGTACTTTGTAAGTTTAAACTACTACTACACTTGAACACTTGAACTATTTTATACTATATATGCGGCTATTTGAACGTGCGGACTTACAAAAAAAATTGGGGTCAGATGTATGTAGGTAGCCTTCGATATGGCTGGCTCCCGCATCCGAGTCTGCGGACTGGTCCCCTATTCGCGGAAGGATGCCGGAACAAATCCGGGGGTCTGCAGAAGGATGCCGGAGCAAATCTGGGGGCCATCGTTGGAGATGCTCTTAGGGACGTATCTGACATGATATAGGAACACAACAAAATTTGACATCGTTTTGTAGAATTTTACATGATTCGGTATGAAAAACCCGAGATAATTTGAAATAATTCACTAAGATCCGACCGATGCATGTTTTTACCAAGTGCGTCCAGCTTGTCGGTTCTAGTGAAAATAATGAAAGTACTTCCTCTGTACCAAAATATAAGACCTTTTGTAGTTTAAATTGAACTACAGTACGTCTTACATTTTGGAACAGAGGCAGAAGCATAAGTATGGCACAAGACATAACAACTAACAAGTGTGAAAGATAGCCAAAAATAGTTATAAAGTAATGGAATGTCACACTGTAATACTAGTAATAAACAAATAGATAAGACAGCAAAAGCGGTATAATTAGGTGGCAGTTCCACGTCAGTTCGACCAGGTACACTGTCTATCAATCCCCCGTTCAGTTTCAGTGCGCGTGGCTTTCTTCTCCGGTGGTAATTTTCCACCGTCCCGGTCACACCTGAAAGCTCATGCATGTGTTAATTTGGCTCCCAACCGCAACGTTTATTATGTTCAATCGTCTATAGTGGTCTGCTTCGAGTGCTCGCACGGCCGGATTTGCAGCAGCACGACGACGGCGACGAAGGGACGATTCGTCGATGGCACACGCTATGTGTTTTGCTTTTTGTGGAGCAGTACTGATATCTTTATTTTCTGTCGTCGTCGTGCTGCCTGTTCGACAATCATCCCTGCAAAATCTGACGTACTCGGTGAGCTAAGCCAGCCAGGAGGGTGTGATGTCAGGTTTTCAACATCAGGTGAGAGCGATGGGCCCCTCCGTGGTTCAAATTGGGCGGCTCATATCCGCCAACAAAGAGAGGACCCCTGTGTCCTGCCCCCGCGTGCGACCCGGACCAAACCCTAGCCGTCAGGACAGCTCCCTCCCAGATCTCCTCGTCCCCGTCGCCGCCATCGGCAAAGCCCGCGCAGCACCGTCGTTGGTTGCGCCCCTCCTTTTTCTCCTCTTGCGAGGTTTGAAGAGTGCTGGGGCACTCGGCCGTGGAGAGGCGTGGGGGCGCGGCGAGCATGTGCCGGTGGGCACGGCGCGCGTGGCGAGTGGGCGTTGGTGAGCGTCAGGAGTGACACGCCTGGCGTTGTGCGCTTGCGTGGCAGGTCACGTGCGGACACGGTTGCGCGCTGCGGGTTGCTGTGGCGGCCCCAGTGTGGTTCTGCTGCAAGTTGTGTGGAGATCCGGGGTCGCTGCAGTGTGGGGCTTGCCGTGGCTGTGCCTGATTTGGCTCCTGGCAAGCCCATGGCTGGATTGAGCGAACTGCAGAAAACCACCACATTGACGCTTAGTATTGCAGAAAACTCTGTTCTACGAATTTGTTCCAGAAACCACCGATTCTCGGCCTAATCTTTTGCAGAAAACACTGACATGTCGCTTTAGCATTTTAACC